CGTCCCTTCATGAGGTAGTTTTGTGTTTGCGGTATCCCCGGTTCAGAGATTCTACTTTCAGAAAAGAGTTCTAATTATACTGCAGCAGCTTTGGGGCATAAACCATATTCTCATTCTGCCACCATGTGTAATAAGGAATTTGAAACGATATACGTGTTTCTGAAAGGGAAGGTGTGTCTAGTGTATCATTTGTTGCCTTTCCTCTTCCAGCTTCTTGCTTCATTCCCAGACCATTTAGCTCCCAGCAAGGCACCGGCAAAGGCTGGTGACCAATCAGAGTGGGCCTCTGGGCTTTGGGCCCGCCTCTTTCCAGGTGGGAGGGGGCGTACCTGAGGGTGCTGGGCCCTCTGCCTGCAGGTGGAGGAAGTCTGAGAAATGAAGGCCGAGGCTTGATGACATCATCGTCATCCTCTGGCTCCCGACACACCGGAAGCCCACGTGCACCCCTAAGCTTTTTAAGTTCAGGCCAGTTTGAGTGGATTTTGACAAAGTGATGACTAATACATGTCTAATTAAAAGATTGTCCGTACCGTCAAGAGAATATTTTACAGCCTGAAAAAACAATGTTTAGAAGAGCCAGGCGGAACATTGAATCGCAGAACATATTGCTAAGTGAAAACAGCACAAGGAAAAGCAGTAGATCCGCAGGCGAAGGAGAACATTGAGAATGAGAGAAAACGCAGGTGGTTACAGGAAAAAAATCCATGTCCTCACAGCCTGAGGGAGGGTCCCCAGCAGGCAGCCTAATGACAGCCACAGAAAGCCAGGAAGCATGCTAGCACCACCCCCTTGTTAACGTAAAAAAAAAACAAAAAACATTGAAACCTGTAAAGAGTTTTTGTGAGTTTATTTGAGTCAAACTGTCGACATATGGCAGGAAGCAGAACCTCAGCGAATTGAGATCATGCTCCGGAGAATGGCGGGGTTACATCTGCATTTATACATTGCAATCAAAGGAGGGACGTAGGTGGGTTACATGAAATCCATTGGTGACAGATTAAGGAGGAGGGATAAAGCAAAGCAGGGAAACCCCTGGGATTGGATAAAAAGTAAAATGATGGACACACACTTAGGTGGGTGCAGGATCAATTAACATGATAACGAAGGAATTTGTGGTATCTGTCCTGGCGCCCAGCACATTTGGTTGTGGCCCAGGGGCTCCAGAAAAAGTTACAAGTTACCCAGACATTTCAAGGGTATGTTATCATAGATGCAAAAAGACAGATGGGCTCGGTTAAGGTAAAGGTTGACCTTGTCAGTGAAGATACCGGCCTAGGACATAACTGCCCACCATCACTGCTTTTAACGTGTAATTTCAGGCCATCTTTGGTGGTTACTTTAGGTCTCTGAGTTTGCAAGACCGCCATGCAGGCCTCCCCTGAGCTTACAGGTCAGCATGTGGCCCCTTTCATCCACACCCTATATTTTTACGTTCTGGAATTTAAAAAAATGTATTTAATGTCAGTGCACTACTTTCAAGAGAGCAGCTAACACATCGACCCAAACAAGCATATGTTTAAGGTAGGTGAGCGGGGAAGGCAGGAAGGTGCCACAGTTCCTATGTCAGAAGGAGGCCCAGAACTGGGGCCTTGGGGAGACAGGGCCTCTCGCTTCCCTGATGGAATCTGGTTGAGCAGGTTCCAGTGAATCCTTTTGTGCACAAAGGAGGATCCTATCCTGCGATTGCTGCCCAGGGGGTGGAGAAAGAGAGAAGAGAAAAAACGGAAGGTGAGTTCATGAAGAAGGAACATGGGCAAGCCCTTGTGAAGGATCATATAAACGGAGCCCCTCGAAATGGAGCTAGAGCTGGCACCTGAGGACCTGCCTGTGTGCAGTGTGCCTCTGCTCTTTGGAAGGTTCGAGTGGCCTTGGCACTGGGCCTGAGCAATCTTGTACCGAAAACACTGCTTACCGCGATGACCAGACAGCAGTTACTGTGACTGCTGCACAGACGACCACTGGACTGAAAATTAAATAACATTATTTAGAATTCGCTTCCCTATGTGATGTCATCTGCACCAATAGAGGTGCCTTTGAAACGTAGGGTTCGAGGTACAGACTTCTTCTCGGGGGTCCCTGTCCGACAAAGTTTGAAGAATAAACTCGTGGACAAAAAGGCTTCTTTAGTTAAAAAAAAATGGCCAAAACCGGTTTGGCTCAGTAAAAATATATGGACGTTTATTGGAAGCTTATACAAACTCCATCTGGGCAGGGGGGTCCCAGAGCGGTCCCCCTGGGAATGGGCCACCAAATGGGAAAAACCTGCTCACTCTCTCTCTCTCTCTAATGGGAAAAAATTCTACACCCAAAAATCTAAAATCTGTAATCTGTCTTGTGTCCCTTGGTCTCCAGGCTATTAGTATATATGCTGTAGTTCTTTGTTTGACCCTGACCCTTTCTAATTGGGCCCCTTCCCCATGTTCTGACCCTGTGCTCTCCTACTTGGTCACTCTTTTTTTTCAAAGGCCAAAACGCACATGGTGCCCCCGTCCTTCTCTCCCCCTTATCTTGCAACATTCCTCTATCTCCTGTGGAAGTATGGTTCCCCTTTCCGCATCTGTCGACATTTCTCTGTTCTCTGTGAGGGTAGGTTTCCTTCTTCCCAGTCCTCTGTGACTTTCCTTTATCCTCTGTGAACGTATGCCTTCCTCTCCCCTTATCGTTGGCATTTCCCTGTCCTTCACATCCCCATCTTATCTGTTCTGGTTGGGGTTGCTTTGGATCGTCTTTATGGCCCTCTCTCTGGCCAAGGGAGGGGTTATTACCCCGTATGGCTGTGCCAGCTGCTCAGGGCAGGGCTGCGTTTGATCCACCTTATAACTGCCTTCATTGCTCAGGCCAGAGACACCGCTGTCCTTCACATACACACCCTCCCCCACGGACCCTCTTTATTCCCTAAGCCTGCCTGTTTGGCCCCTAGAATTCCTTTCGCCTTCCTTGATTGATGTCATTGTCCCCCTTCCCTGTCTCATCGATACCCCTGGCCTTTGTCTCCTAATCCAAATATTATTTGGGCTTCTGCCTGGATTCCTGATTCCTGAAGAGCTGTCCTTACTGGTCGCAAATAAACAATAGTTTCCCTCTCCCTTCGAAAGCCCTTATTTTCCGGTGACACCTTCCCCACTGGGGACCCGACTGTCTTACCATCAGCGCTTCACAGAGAGCCCAGCGGGAAACAGGAATGTGGACCGACTGGGAGAGAGTGAGTGGAGACCAAGGGAGCCACGGAGTTAGCACCCCTCCCCCCTCCCTGAAGGAACAGGGACAGTGAAGACACCGGGTGGCAATGGAGGAGAGAGGACAGCTCCACCTTCACAGCACTCCCAGCTGACAGTGCCCGGGACTCACGGAGCACAGGGAGGAACTCCGCCAGCAAGTCCCAGGCATTGTCTCTGCCACCCCAGCCCGCCCCACCCTGCCCCTTCTTCCACTCAGAGCCACTGTTAGCCTGCCTCCGCCTCACCTGCGGCCCGGGGTCCGGCTTCCCCTTGCTTGGCTGGGGCCTGAGTTAGAGTCGCCGTGGCTTCCTCAGAAGATGAGCTCCTAAGGCCTTTTTCCTGCAAGAGTTTCTGTAAAGAAACAAAACCACCCATCTCAGGAGCGCTCTGGGACAGAGGCGGGCAGAGCCGGGCCAGCTCTGAAGTCCGCTCCCAGCTTCATCCTGACCCGCTCCACCTGGGAGAGGTGGGCAGTTACAGAAGCTCCCTGTCCCAGCCAGCCAGGGCCACCATGACAGAAAAACACACGTCATTTCTCATAGTTCCAGGGGCTGCGAGGCCCAGATCAAGGTGCCAGCCCCACACCATGACCTCATTCAACCCCAACCCCTCCCCAAAGCAGCGTCTCCAAATAGTCTCACTGGAGCTTGCGCATGTGGATGCTAGGGGGGCACATTTTCATCCCCAATACCCCCTGTGGCTCAGTGTCCTCTTCTGTACAACTGGGAAGCCCCTCTTCCCAGGCCAGGGACCTGGAGGGACATCAAGGGAGAAACAGGCACGGCCAGGCCTGGCCAGCTGGGCACCATCATCTCCGGAGCCCTCGTCTGCAGGGGCAGCCATGCAAACTGCACACACACTGGCTTCCTTCACACCCTCCCCTAAACCTGGGTGCCCATGAGCCCCAGTCCCTCTCCCCTCCCTCCAGCCTCACCTGCAGCTCCTCATAGAGCTGGGTGAGTGCTGCCAGCTCTCTCTCCTGCTCCTCAGCCTTGGCCCTCAGCAAGTCCGCCAGCTCGGTCCTGGCTCCCTGCTTCAGCTGCTGCCAGTCCTTCAGGAGGCTGCCCAAATCCATGCCCAGGAAGAGGCCATTCAATACGGTGTTCCGCAAGAAAGCGCTGCTCCCCATTGCTAGCGGTGTGCCTCTAAAGGCCCTTTGCACCCTCCTGGCCGTGCGGGTGGAGGCCTCGCCAGTGACCAGGAGACGCTTGGCGGCAGCGGCCAGGCGCGGGTGGGCTCTGGCGACCTGCAAGGCCTTGACGTTCTTCTTGATGCCCTTGAGGGTCTTCCCACAGTTATAGATAGTCGTTCCGGCCTTCACGGCATAGGCCACAGCCTCCTCGACCTTTGGGTCAGGGGCAGACAATTCGCGGCTGACCTGAGCTTGGGCCTGTTTATTGTGACGGTATTCCAAAATGCTGGTAAACACACTGGTGGCCCCAGCAGCTGCCCCCAAACCTTGACCAGCAGCTGTAAGCACCAGGCTTCCTCCGGCTGTGACCGGAGCGAGGGCCAACCCCAGGAGGCTCAGGGCTCCGGAGGCCACAGCGACCGAGTTGGTCACCAGGCTGGTCTCGGTGAAATTTTTGTGGGTTTTGTCGATGTCGTCTGCGAGGGCACGGTACTTTCTGATGGCCATTTCTAGTTCCGCTTTCTTTATGGGAAACTCTTTCAAAAATATTCCTTCTTCGGGGGACAGATCTCCATCTTGTTGCTCCACATCTTCACCTGGAGGAATGTCATCGCCATCCCTGCGGATGAGGGAAATAAAGATTTGGTTTTGCCCTAACCAGTTTAGCTCAGTGGGTAGAGCCTTGAACTGCAGACCCAAGGGTCTGGGTTCGATTCTGGGCAAGAACATATACCTTGGTTCCAGGCTCCTCCCTGGTTGGGACATGTGCAGGAGACACCTAATCCATGTGTTTCTCTCACATCAATATTTCTCTCTGTCTCTCCCTCTCTCTTGGAAAAATATCCCTGGTGAGGATAAAAGTAAATAACTAAATAAAGTTTTGATTTCAGTGTCCCCGATGGGAAGGCCAGATTCTTAGGCCCAGTGGTTTCCAGAAGCCCCTGCCGCTCCCAATTCTGAACCCTCCCTGCATCTCCCTAACACCCCTGTGACCTCCGGCCTGACCCTGACCATGCGAAGGCCGCAAGCGCTGCTGGGAGCTGCTGGTTCCATGAAGAGAAGAAACCCATGAGAGGGACGTCCGGAGGGACACAGGGGAGATGCGCAGGCCAGAGGGCAGGAGAAGGGAGAGCGGTCCTGATGGATATTTGCAACCTTGGTCAGAGAGACTGTGGAAGTGTCACCGGCCAGAGGCAGTGGGCAAAAGCTAGGGTCCTGGTCAAGGTCAGGACTGATGGAGCGGGGGGTCATGGAAGGTAGGAGAACGGAGCCCAGGTGTTGGGCGGGAGGTTGAGAGGTCTGTAGAGGCAGAGGACAGTCACGGAGGAGGTGCCACGTTGTATGAGGCGCCCTTGGCTTTGACGACCTTGAGTTTGGCGGCTGAGGTGTGACTTTGCCTCTGTCAGGAGTAGCCCAGCAAGAGGCCAAGCTAAGCGACCAGCAACGTTTTAAACCTTCTCCTTGGCACGTGGCCAGCTTTGCTTGCCCCTCAGGCTGGTGGGATTGGTCTTCCAGGGAAGAGACCAGGGACCCCGGGGCCACGAATTCTAAAGTCTTGTCTTTAAGGTGCTTGACAGCTAAGGCAAGCTTGGCTTCTTGTGTTTTTTAATTAAACCAAATGCCTCAAATATGGACACTCGGCCACAGTGCCTCCTGCGCGAGGCAGCAAGGCCCACTGACATAGTGTCGAATGGCAGCCTGGTTCTACCAGGCACAACGGCGGTTCACCGAATCACTCAGCCAGCATCTCGATTGTCCACGTTGAGCTGGAGCCTGGGATGCTACGCCTGCGGCTAACGGATAACTGGGCTTGAGTTCATGAACGCAGACACACTACAGGGCTTTCCTGGGGTCACGTGAGCCAAAAAGACGGCGTTCCTGCTTCATGAGCCTCCCAAAGGTGAGCCCCCACCCCCACGGGACAATGTACACCTGAGGATCCCAGTGCTCAATGGCATGGACCTAATTAGATCTCAACCTGCACTCCAAAATGTTTAGTTCACCACGTGGAATGTGCTTCCCGAGGAGAACTGCCTTCCTGAGTGGGAAGACAGGCCGGCGTGGTGGCCAATGCCTTTGGGGTTGCACATGTGGGGGTGCCTGAGCATTTCAGCAGGGGCAGCCCTTTCCCTGAGACAAAACTTGCCGGGTTACCTTTGCAAACCAACACCAGCTTCGAGTTTTTGCCACTGTGGCTCCAAATCCGATCTCCTCTTGTTCACGGGAGAAATGGGGGTGTTCCCAGGGGTCAAACGACTTTCTGGTTGGAAACATGGAAAACAAGGTGACTGCAGGGGCCATGAAACCTTACGAGATTCGAGTGTGGTGGGGTTTGAGATATGCCGAAGCCAAATAATGGTGAAAGACTTGTACTGTGCTAACTATTTGCCTACAATTGTTCTCACATTTTATACTGAGGTATAGTTTGCATATAAGTACACAAATTGAAGCCCTCCGCTCAATAAATGTGTATATACAATACACACACACACACACACACACACACACACACACACACCATCAGCACCCAGACCAAGGTAGAGAACAGGTTTCCTGTGACTACCCACAAGCAGCACTCACCCTGCCCCAGAGGAAACCACTATTCTGACTTCTATAACCATTGATTAGTTTGCCTATTTTTGAACTTCATATAAATGTTTCAGGTATCAGTCGTTTTAAAAGATGATTGGTATGCAGTATCTCTATATATAAAAGGCTAAGCGACTGGCCAACTGGCTGCTATGTATGACACGTACTGACCATCAGGGGGCAGACACTCAATGCAGGAGCTGCAGAGCTGCAGTGACTTGGCAGTGTGGTTCTTGGGTGATGCATCCCAGAACCAGAGAAGAGGGAGCCTGATTCCTTAGGGGGCCACACAATCCCACCTTCAGCAGTGGGTTATGTTGTTGCTGGGGCACTGTCACCCAGAATCTGGTTTACTGCCAAGCTGCGGTGACTGCAGACACCCTTTGAGCTGTGGCACGGTGCTGCCCATGTGCTGCCCAGGTGCTGCCCAGGTGCAGCCGGCGGGGAGGGACCAAGGGAGGCTGGCTCCAGGGCGTGTCCAGCCCCGTCCCACCCAGTCCCGCCCCACTGGCCACCTTCTACTCAATGTGCACAAATCTGTGCACGGAGCCACTAGTTTCATTACATAAATACACGACAATTTGCTTATCTATTCTTCTGTCAACTGATATGTTTAGGTTGCTTATCTATTCTTTTATCAGTTGATATGTTTATGTTGTTTCCAGCCATTGGCTATTAAGAACAAATTGATTTAATGATTAAAAGATCATCTACACAGGACATGGCAACAATTTATAAAGCCCCTTAGTACCAGTTATATTCCCAAGAACATAATATTATGAGAGCTGCAAAGGCCCTGTCTGAGCACACAGGTGGGGTCTGAAACCCCTCCCAGAATCTACTTGCTAGATGGTGAGACCTGGGGCCAGGGATCGGGGCAGGTGCGTGTCTGTCAGGAGAGAGGGTCACTTTGATTGATCGATTGATTGATTGCACAAAGTGGTCATCCATTTGTAGAGCTATGTGTTCCCAGAGCTGTTCCACTTGTGGGCAGGCTTTTTCTAATAAGCACTAAGGCACCACGTGGTCTAGTAGTGGCCCTGATTTAAGGTAGGCGTGAAAACGAACGCTTGGGCTGGAAAATAGACTAGTTTTGCGAGAGGAAACAGGCTGACCTCTTAGGAAGTTATTGCAATGTTCAGAGCAAGAGGCAGCAGCTGCTTGAACCAGGTTGGTAGAAATGATCAAAATGATGGATTTGAAGGGATCCACAGGATTGTCAGTGAATGTGGGATGGACGAGACCAGGGTCAAGGGTGACCTCAGAGTGAGTCAGGTTTGGGGCCTGAAGGACTTCTACAGGGAGGATCCCATCTACTCAGATGGGTAGAAGGTTTTCTGGACGGGGCATTGAGTTCCGGTTGGGGAGGACTGAGTTTGAGATACCTGATTAGACATCCAAGTGATGCTGAGAAGGCAGCGGATAGATGAGTCTTGCTCTGGCTGGGAGAGCAACTGTGGGGCCAATAGTGTAGAAAGTAGTTAAAGCCACAAAATTACATGTGAGCCCCACCAGAGTGGGTCGGTGGTTGAGCATCGACCTATGAACCAGGTGGTTGTGGTTCAATTCCCGGTCAAGGCACATGCCTGTGTTGCAGGCTTGAGCCCCATAGGGGGCGGGAAGGAGGCAGCCGATCGATGATTCTCTCTCATCATTGACGTTTCCATCTCTCTCTCTCTCTCTCTCTCTCTCTCTCTTCATCTCTGAAATCAATAAAAATATATATCTTTTAAAAATTGCATGTGAAATGGTGAAAACCATCATAAAAAAGGGAGGACGCCACCAGTTCAGCCAGGCAGAGAGGAGACGGCAGCTGGCAAAGGACAGGACTAAGGACAAATGTTGGAACCAAGTGACTGTGTGTGTGCGACGGCGGGTTGTTGTGTGTCCTGTGTTCTCACGGGTGCTGGGCCTGCTCCCACACCTTCTCTTACAAAGACGTCACTGGGCTCTGCTTTCCCTCCAATGCAAGCGGCTGGGAGGGGAGCCTACCTTGGCAGATTGAAGATGTCTCTCTCCTTGCCACCTTCGACGTGCTCTCCTGGCTCTTTTCCATCCTCACAGTGGCGGGGCGTCTGGCAGATGTGTCTTGCGCTGCGGGAGGAAAACGCTGACCGTGGCATTAGTATAGAGTCAGTGTGGCCAAGGGCATCACAGCCCGCCTCCGTCTCGCACCAGTTCTGTGGTTTCAGGGAAACTCACTCCCTGCTCTCCGTTTCCCTTTCCTCCCCTGTGAAGCCCGAGTACACTGCCCATCTCCATAAATGTTGCGGGACAGAGGTTTCTGCATTTTTCATCATTATGAGCAGGATAAAAATCCTCCATTAAAAGGAAAAGACTCCGTGATTGGGTCATAAGGCGAAATCCAACTACATGCACTTCTTACAAGCGATGCATCGGAAATAGAGGCCCAGAAAGTTAAAGCTACAGGATGAGCCGGGGTGCAGCAGGCCAGGGAGGTGGCTGCGTCCAGGAAAGGGTAGAACCAGGGGTCCTCGTGATGGAACTTCTGCAAATGAACTGTGACCGCGACCACACAAATCTACACGTGTGAAAAGTTGCATAGGATGACGTGCACACACACACAAATGAGCGGAGGAGGCTGGTGAGATCTGAGGAAGTGGTTTGTATGCACATCCACTTCTTAGTTGTGATATTAGAGTTCGTAAGCCATTGTTGGCGGGGAAATTGGGTAAAGGGAGGTATGTGGGATCTCTCTGTATACTTTTCTCAAAAAAATTTTTTTTAATATATTTATTTTTTATTTCAAGAGAGGAAGGAAGAGGGAGAGAAAGATAGAAACATCCTGCACACCCCCGCACTGGGGATGGAGCCTGCAACCCCGGCATGTGCCCTGACCAGGAATCGAACCATGACCTCCTGGTTCATAGGTTGACACTGAGCCACGCCATCCGGGCCAATTTCCCCCAAATTAACACTGAAAAACACAGCTTGCGCCTATGAGAACGGCCAAAATCCGGATCACTGTCAACGTCAAATGCTGGTGAGGATGTGGAGCAACAGGAAGTCTTGGTCATCGCTGATGGTGATGGAAAATGGCACAGTCACTTTGGACAACAGTTTATCAGTTTCTCACAAAATTAAACATAGTCTCACCATGTGATCCAGCAATTGTGCTTCTTGGTATTTTACCCAAAAGGAGTTGAAAACTTGCGTCCACACAAAAACCTGCACAGGGAGGTCTGCAGCAGATTCATTTATGGCTGCCAATACTTGGAAGCCACTAAGATGACCATCAGTCAGTAGGTGAGCGGATGGATAAACTGTGGGACATCCAGACAACGGAATATTATTCGGTGCTAAAGGAAACGAGCTATCAAGCCATGAAAAGACATTGGCACAGCTCACACCTTGGTCTTGGACTTCTGGCCTCCACAGCTATGAGAGAACACATTTCTGCGGTGCAAGGCCTCCCAGTGTGTGTGGTCCTGTTCCTATGGCAACCTTAGGACAGGAACACCCCGGCTCTCACCTCCCCCCCATCGCCACCCCTCCCACCCCCCTCATCATTGGCATTGGCTCCTGGGGCTGGTGGAGAAGTGGCATGTTCTAGATACGCCCCCTCTCTCATGACCTCCTCCTTCCCTCTCTCCTCCTCCTCTTCCACTGCTAAAAAATCTTAGAAAATAAATCCTCCTTTACCTGCTTTGATGTCACAAAAGCCCTTATAACCCGTTTTCCTCTAATGATTTCAATGAATGCAGATTTACAATAGACATTCCAGAAACAAAGAATACGATTCATCTGTACTCTCACTACACGGAAATAAACACTGCCAGCCCTTGATTTTACCAGCAAAACCAATTTAGACTCCTGCTGCTCCTACAGTTTTGCATGAATTGTTGTCACTTAACATTATATTCTAGTGGCTCCTCATATTACCAGAGCGTTTCAAACAGCATAGAGGCCCTGTAACATCTCACCCTGTGGAGGTATCCTTTCGTATTTAATTGCTCCCCTGCTGTGGAATCTCTGGGTTGTTTTCAGCTCGTTTGTCTTTTATGAATAACTTTTGATCCTTATAGAAATGTTGGTCACATGTTTGGTTATTTCTATGGGATAGTCTTTGAGGTAGAATTAATGCATCAAAGATTTTTTCAAAAAATAAAAAAAAGGTTTTCTCCTCTCTGGTTTGTAAAGCTGGGTTGGGAGGATTTGGCTCCAGGGTGCCCATGGCCTATAACAGTGATGGCGAACCTTTTGAGCTCAATGTGTCAGCATTTTGAAAAACCTTAACTGAACTCTGGTGCCGTGTTACATATAGAATTTTTTTGATATTTGCAATCATAGTAAAACAAAGATTTATATTTTTGATATGTATTTTATATATTTAAATGCCATTTAAATCAACCAAAAAAATGAGTTTGCGTGTCACCTCTGACACGTGTGTCATAGGTTCGCCATCACTGGCCTATAATATAAGCCAGACATGCACCTACTTTAGGCACCTTTAATCCTCTCTGACACTGTGAAATAGATGTTAATGTTATTCCCATTTTGCAGATGAGGCCCAAGGAGACCGATGTCACGCTAGTCGGTAATTGGGAGAGCCCAGCGTGATTCGAGTTGATCTCCATCAGGGGTGCTTTTTCTCCCCGGGGGACACTGGTAATGTCTGTAGACATTGGTGGGGGGTGGGGTGCTACTGGCATCTGAGGCTGCAATGCTCAGGGCGGCCCCACAAGAGAATGACCCCGTCCAGGACGTCAGTGGTGCTGAGGCTGAGAAACTGCCCTGGAGCCCTTCTCCACCAGCACCTGTGACCCCCAGTTCTCATGTTAGTCCTCCCGGGCGGGCGAAGGGCAGAGGGGACCGCAGGGAGCTCTTTGGTCCAAACAGGTCCCCTCCCTACTGACCTCCCTGGATGTGAGAGCAGACAATGGGGTTGATGGCGGGGTAAGCCATGATACTTCTTTTGAGGGCTCACTTTTCTTTTCCTTTTTTAAATATATTTTTATTGATTTCAGAGAGAAAGGGAGAGAGAGATAGAAGCACCAATAATGAGAGGGAATCATTGATCTGGCTGCCTCCTGCACGCCCCACACTGGGGATCCAGCCCACAGCCCTGGCATGTGCCCTGGCCAGGAATCGAACTGGTTCATAGGTTGATGCTCAGCCACGGAGCCACGCCAGCCTGGCCGAGTGCTCATATTTCTGACGGTCTCTGTGTGCCTGCTTAGGGAGCCTTTAGTCCTCCCTGCACACCAACTCCCCGGGCATCCTCTCTATGCAAAGGTGGGCGACTCTGAAAACACAGCTTGGGGCCAGGCCCCTCCTTCCCACCACTTTCCCAAAGGAGCCTACCATCCAGGAGACACTGGGGTTGGCTTTGCACTTTCCACAACTCACCCAGCCTCTTTTCTCCTGCAAAGAGGGCACCCCTAAACCGGGCCTGCAGGGAGCTCCCAGGGAAACACCTGTGTCTACTCTAGAGGTTTCCCACACTCTGGGAGCCTGGCCCTCTCCCTTTAGGACCCTGGGGTTCCCCCGCCCATGGGGGAGGGGAGGGAGTCTCAGCTTGGTGGGTGATATCACACCTTTAATCAGGTTTCCTTTTAAAACAGCAGTCGCCAACCTTCAGGACCTCATGGACCACCAGTGATGACCACTGCTGTAAACTTCACATGGCCCATGAGGGAGAGATTCCTGTCCTGATTTATCAAAGAATTCGCACTGCAGTCCTGGCCGGGTGGCTCAGTTAGAGCATCGTCCATATGCTGAGGTTGCGGGTTCGATCCCCAGTCAGGCACACACAAGAATCAACCAAAGAATGCATAAATAAGTGGAACAACAAATCGATGTTTCTCTCTCTCTGTCTGTCTCTTCTGTCTCTCTCCCTTCCTCTCTCTCTAAAATTCAATTTAAAACAAAGAAAAAGAATTTCAACTTCAGACCCTTCCCAGGCTCACAAAGTTCATAATTGGCAGGACAGGGAGCGACTTGAACCCTAGCAGCGCTGACCACAGCTCCTGGCCTGTAGCCGACCCCTCAGGCGCCCAAGCAGCCCTCCCCGCTCTGCCCGTGCCTCACCTGCTCTCCCTGCAGCCTGTCCTCTGTCCTCACCTCTCTGGGGCCTCAGGTCCACAGGGCGCTGTGAGCGTCAGTCCAGGCTGGGAGGACAAT